TATCATTTTCATGTGAGATTATTTTTCGCAAAAATGGCAGGAATTCCTAATGAAGGATTGGTTGGGGGCCAAATGTTTTGCCATCAGAATGTCACCTTAGTGTGCCTAATAAATGCCAGACCTTGAGTTTTTTAAGGACATACTCACGTAAAAAGAGGCTGATCTCTCCTCAATTTGCCTTAAAAGAAAACTCATGATGCGTCGAGCGAGTACAATAATTATAAATACAATACTTGTCTAATTTACACAAACAGCCCAGATCATCGATATTATATCTTGGATAGTTTGGACCTAAATGAGAGCCGGGATCAACTTAAGCCTCATCAGCTGAGGTCTGTGCAGGTAATTGGCTTTCCCGCATTGAGACAAGTGGAAGACCTCAGGATGCCATCGACGTTTATTTAGCATTGCCTCCGAAAAAGCATGTTTATCCGAGCTGGTCTAGTGTTTAGACCTCGCCTGAGGCTTATCAGCACCTCAAACTAGATTCGAAATTGGGTCGTGCGTGTAAAGTTGCCAATTTACACATCCACAACAAAGCCGCGAGTGCCACTGGATTACAGGGCTGATGGAACTCAAGGCAATTTAATTTATTGTCCGATATCGAATAGTTTTACTCGCTATTTCCATCTACGAACTTGCTATATACTATCAGCAAATCTAGAATTTATCATTTAATTGTGGAAAATTTAACTGTCCTTACTGTCAAGATGATTCAATCTCCTATTCAATAGCTATCGATAGACTTACTCAGTATATTATGTCTTCGTTAAATCATCGAGGTAACCTTTATCAATATACATCTCATTCTCCTAGCACTCATAAACATAAAAGAGTATGCAGTCGAATATGAGTAAGCCAGAAAGAGTGGATTGAAGAAGAGTGCTATGAATGAGTGTATGGGTGGGACCTCACATCAAAGACAAGGTAGAAAAGTGTAAGCTCCTCGTTACACAAAAGACACATTTATTCTTCTTATTTCGAAAGCCGGGGCGATTGAGGTTATTGTAGCCTTACTTTGTGACGGAAATTGGAGTATACCTGACTTACACTTAGACTTAAAGATTTGATTTATGATATGCTCCCCGAATAGTTCGTTTAGTATTCCTTGCTAAAACATTTAGCATTCATGCGTCCTTGCGGCACTGTCAGTCATCCTCTCACAATTACCAAGTCTCGTCTTTGCAAAATTTGCTTCCTTGTTTATTTGAACACACCCATATCTGCATCCTTATGAGCTGATCCATTAAAGCATTGTCACCTTCATCGCCGTGTTTCCACACTGTTTGCGAGGCTTCATGATCAGGATTGGTATCTCCACTCAGCCATCCACATCGCCTAATATCTACCAGTTTGTCCTTCTTGGCCTCCTTCCTTATAGGCCTTGTAGGCCTCTCTTGTAGCCTAGCCAATTGTCTACCTTCACTCTGTATTAGCCACTGTAGACTTCGTAACCGTGGGCATCATCACATGATACGCCCCTCATTTATGATAGCATATGTGCGGTAGCTTCGCCAAGCACAGCTACAGAACCGTGAATCTCTTACTTTCTCATCTTTTAAATCTACTTGTATCCTCTTAACCACTTCAATCGAGGGCTTTTTTTATCATGTACTAATTAGTATGCCTCCCTCACTCTTCTTCTCTAACACTGATTTGACCTGCTTACGTACTTTTACTTCAAATAAAGGTTTTTCTGCCACCTTATTAGTCAAACAACTTTTAGATGGACAGACAGACTTCGTGAGAGATGACATTTTATAATAAGAATAAAAGGGAGAATAGTCGAAATATGCTGCATAAACATGAGGAGCTGGCGGAGCCACGCAGATAAAATATCAACAGTTGAGCCTTCTTCTAATAATCACGCCTGATTAGCTGCTGGTTGTCAGGATTCGAGGGTACCTACAAAAGCTGCCATATAAGCTGCCATATATATATGCTATTACATCTGACTTTTCAGAATTTGGCCTAGCTGTTTTATCAGTTTGAGTTTTAACGGATAAGGC